ACGGACAATATTATGCCACGTGGAGGGTGGGGTATTACAGGGGGAGGCCACCATTTTCCATGATTTCCAAGTTTACATATCCAGCCACTGGTTTCTATAGATATTTTTGAGAAACCACTCAAAGTAGTCTCTCTATCAAAACATATAAATGAAATTCAATTCAACCTTGTATTTTGAAATTTTCCCCCCAGGTTGTACCCCTCATGCTATGTAAACACTTTGACTGATTGACATTTGAGTAGTTGGAGAAATTTATTTCCCCAAATGAATTATTATTATTTTTATTATTATTATAATGATGACGGGTGGACAAGATCCTATCTTGCTTTGAGAAGTGTGGTTGCCATTATTGACTTGACCTCACTAAACTACAATTTTATTCTTTCGAAAACTACACCCAATTAGACTTTTAAAGATGTCCTCTTGTTTTCTACTCTATTTTTCTTTCACTCATTTCTACCCGTACCAAAACGCATCACGAGTGTCAATTGCGGTCATCTCGTTGCCTCGTGCTACGATTGGGTTATGTTATTTTTTATATCTATAGTGTTCGTATTATTTTTGCTTATCTCATGAATGAAGAATTTTTCAGACTAGAACCCTATTGTGTCAAACAAATCTAATACAAGTAAGTTCTTCACGAATTAAAAATTATCTTGAACTATCTATTAAATAAATCATAAATACTAATTCAATCCATTGGTTATCGATCATATCAGAAATTAATAGCATTATATATAGTCCAAAATATTAGTTGTGTTCGTCATTAAAACATAGCGATGAGAAAATTAAATTTGTGGTAGCACGCCATCCTAATTTTTCAATGAGATGACCAGTGCAATTTCAACTTGCATTAAAATAACAATGACAGAAAATAATAAAAATAAGGACACAGTTATCAGACAATTGCTACTACATTATATATTCAACTAATATCTTAAGTAACCGGGGGAAAAAAAAATAACATCTCATCTCATTTGCACCCAGATTTTATATTGGCCTGTTCAGAGTTTAGGTCTGACTTTGGTTTTTTGACCAGTTTATGTAGCAGTTTTTTGGACCCAAAAATGTTTAATTGGGTTGATTCAAAAAACTAATTTTATGAGTTTTTCTTCCTGTTTTTTGGAGTTTTATCACGGGTTCTATATAATTTTTTAATTTATTATATTCATAAAATATTAATAGTGACATAAAAAAATTCAAATTCAAATTTTAGAAACTGTTATACATAATCTATACATACGTGTGTGTATATATATATATATATATATATTTTTTTTGTTTTGATACAAAAAAGTCAAAAAAAAAAAAAAAAAAGTCACTTCAAACGGACTTTTTAAACTTTTTTTAGCTTTTTAAAGGACACCCAAATCATTTTTGAAGATTTTTGTAACTCTGATTTTTTTCGCAACTTTTCAAATCGCATTTTTTCACTTGAAAAAATCAGCTATAAATAAACACATTATTATCACGAGATAAAGTAAATCAATGTAAACACATGCAATTCCCCGATCTATCCAAATAGTTTTATTATCAAATAGCCTGAATTAGTAAACGGACGTAAAAACTGAACTCTTAGGCTTTTTCTATAATATCATGCCTTATATTACGATATAATCAGTTTAAATTACGACTTAATGAGTTATAAGAATGATGTTCAATTTTTTTTTTGGGTCATCAACAACCCATGACTTGCACGTTTAGTAATCATAACCTTATTGAACTACAACTTAGTCTTGTTGCAGATTTTTTTTTGATAATTTCCTTTATTTATGGCCACCGTGTACCTTCGATGAAACATAGTGTGGAAACGAGATGTACATTTCTTTTATTGGTCTACACAATTCGGGCATTCAAAGCAATTGAAGGAGCAGAGAGTCCACAACCACCAGCTGCAACTTCCACCTAGTTACGTGAGAGGGACCTGTTGATGATACAGACCAGACAATGCCAACGAAGTGGACATCCAACGACTGGAAAACCTTTTGCTTTTGGAAATTTTTTAATAGAGTAATGTTAGAGAACTTAAAAATTAGACTTGATAATCTCAATTATTGAATAGTTAGTAGATTCCAATAAATGCTGGGACCCACAGTGAAATCAATGATTATAATAATCAAGTCTAATTTTTAAGGCCATGTAAGATTGCTCTTTTTAATAAATCCTATTTTCTCGTATAAACAATCATTAAATCTTGAGTAATGCTCAAGAGGTCCGAGTGTAATTCTTTCTAATAATTTTTAAATTACTAAAAATTCGTATATATTGCTATCTCTAGAACTATCAACGTTAAAAAATAAAAATCATTGCGACAATTAATAAGAATTCACAAAAATACTCATACTGAAAAACATTTAATTTTTTTTTACTAAAACTATTTTTTACAAGTGCGTCGAAAGTTTTTTTTTTTTGGTTTCCCGAGGCATTCCCACGCTTCGCCCAGGGCTAATCCTCTGAGGAACGGTCGGGCGCCATAGCAGGAACCTCTCCTAAGAAGGTGTGCTGCAGCCACAAGGGTTTGAAATTGAGACCACTTGCTTAAGCGACCAGAGTGTAAAAAAAAATAATTATAAATTTTAAGCATAGATTTATAATTGGAATTGAGAAAAATTGTTACTGAACTTTTGGCCAAATCAATAATTATTAGAATTATGATTTGAGCAAAATAACTATAAGTGTTGTAATCGAAAATTTGAAATAAAGCACGCAAACAGTAGTTAGATCATTAAAAATATAATATGCAATTTAAATAAATACAAAAAATATATAAACATGCAATCTATATAAACTAAATAAATTTATTTAGAAGGAGCTGGCCTACAAGTTCGAGAGGCGTGTGATCACTGTCCTACAACAGTTGAGCCTCTTCACGTGAGGGTACTGACGGACACCAGCAACTCTAAGATCCAACCCAGACGCTCACAGCAGCACCTTCTCAATTGTTACGTCCACTGGAAGGTTGAAGTGAATCTGACTCAAATTCACAATTAATAACATGCTTCCCATGAAGCCATAAAAACCAATTTTAATACCCAGTATATAGGACCAAAAAAATTTACAACTAAAATTCACAATTTAAACATAATTAACATGAAAATTCAATAAAAATTTTAAAAATTTAATTTTATTCTTACACAGAGCCCCTTCCACTCAGGCCAAACTTTGTTGGTAAAGTTTAGGACTTCAAGAGAACAAATTAATAAAAGTAGGGCTTAATGGTATAAATAAAAACATAAAGTCTCACACAAGTTCATCATAATTAATACGGATATAAAGAGGAAATTAGAGACAACTGTAGGTAAAAATGTTAATCGAATTGAACTTGAATATGTTTTGAATTTGATTTGGTTGTGATTGATTGAGCTCTAATCCGAGTTTAATTAGATTATTGCTCAAGCACAACTGAAAAAAAAAAAAAAATTTAAGAGCATTCCAGTCAAAATCAAATTTAATTTCTCACACAAATTCAAAAGTAAAACAACAACATATATTAACCATTCAAAACATTATCAATTTCTCATCAAAAATCTTCCTCATGCTACAAGTGCAAAGTTTTCAAAAATATATAGGAGGAAAGATGGAGAGAGAATTGTATATATGGAGTTATTCAACAATAAATTTAGGGTTTTTTTCACCTTTTAGATAAAGATGACGTGACAATCAAATTAGAAGTAGTCGCATCTTCCTTGGACTTGACTCGTTACCAAACAAATTCGGAATTGAACAACCCTGAAAATCATTTTATCTGTAATGGATGGGCCCTCGCAAAAGATGAGAACCACATAATAAATATGAATATGATCCAACTAACACTATTATTTTTCCATAGTCTCCCCTATAGTCAACTAAGTACACTTAGCACCAGTCACACATTGCAAGAACAAAAACAAACATAGAAACCTAATTAAATTCATTGTATTTTGCACTTTGAATGACCACAAAATACAAAAAATAAATCTATCAATCCATGAAGTTCTATTTTTGATATTTTATATCAATAAAATCCTAATTCTATTATATTCTAATTTTACCTTTTACTTTTTTAGGCACCAAAATTCTTCTTTTCTTTGCTGATATCACAACACCGAAGGCACAGTGGAGGCTTTTTAATTCTTATTTGTTCCCTAATTCAACTATAGTGATGGAGGTTTTTTTGTTAATAGTCATTTGTTTCAGTACTCAACTATGGGGGGTGATAGATTTACTTCCGACCATAACTCCTAATTTTTACTTTGACTAAAATATTATTTATTTATTGCATATTTTATTAACACATTGTCTTTGTGCTTTAGGGTTATTGTATAAATTTAAATTGAATTTAACATAATTAGTTCTCTTAGTGGAGTTTTTTTGCCATTTTATTCTCACTTTTCCCTCGTTGGAAAATTGCTAGAGCTAAAGATAAATTAAAACACAAGGAGTCAGAATATTTATGAATAAAAAACGACTATATATTGTTATAGCTCCAATACCTTAAGTGTCTATATTTTTCAAAAGAATGATAAAATTGGAACAAAACATAGTATTTATGAAATTTAGGATCTTATTGGAATAAAATATCAAAAATATGATTTTAGTGATATAAAATAAAAATAATTAAACTTAATAAATTTTTGTGAAACAAAGTTATAGTTATCAGTAATTTTCCCTACTTCTTTTCCCATAGTCTGCCTTATATAGTCAACCAAGTACTCTTGCACTATGCTGATTTTTTGAATGATTGTATCTGTCCAAAAACTATTCGTCTTTATTCCAAGCTTTATTCAACACAGTGGTGCTCGTCTTTTCTTTTTTTGAATCAACGTGCATAAAGAACAGCCATCAATTTCTCTCATTCTACATTGGCAGACTTACTATAGCATTATTTACTATTATCTCTAAACTTTTCTTTTAGTAAGGTCGTTGTCATACATTAAATTTAATTTTTAATCAATTTTTTTAAGTACACATAACATTACTCTTAAACAATTGCCGATAACACAAGCCACACATCTCTCACCAATTCACTATATAATGCCCTCGAAGATTTCTAACCCAAGCACACCAAGAAAGCAGAAGAAAATCTGAGAGAGAGAGAGAGAAGAAAGAGAGAGATGGAGGTGTTCAAGGTGTCCATGTCCATTGCTTTGCTTTCTGCGGTGGCATTGTTTTTCCGTCTGTATAAGGTTCTGGTATCTGAGCCAGCGAGGGTCCGAAAGATATTGAAGAAGCAGGGAATAACCGGACCACCACCAACTTTTCTAGTTGGTAACATGAGGGAGGTGAAGAAGCCCATTGACGCAGCCGCCAAAGCTACTAAGTCCGCCGCCAACAATGGAACCACACTCGACCACAACTGGGTCGCCACTCTCTTCCCATTTTTCGAGCAGTGGAGAAAACTATACGGTATGCATAATAAAACCCTCATCATCGTTGTTATTTCTTGTATAGTGTTATAATTCTTCATTGTGATATTGATCTATTGAAGTATATATATAACCAAGTTTTGTTTTGATATATGTACAGGTGAGTTGTTTGTGTTTTCTCTGGGTAATTCACATATCGTGTATGTGAATCAGCCTGATTTGATAAAAGAGATAACCACACACACAACCTATGACTTGGGGAAGCCTTCATATCACCGGAAAGAGTTTGGTCCCTTGCTCGGCGATGGCATTCTGACCACTAATGGACCTACCTGGGCATATCACAGAAAAGTTCTTGCTCCTGAATTATACATGGAGAAAGTTAAGGTGAGAATCATCCCATGATAATGGTTGTTACAAGGAAATTTCAATTATTTTTTGGTTTTTTTTTTTTTAACTCGCGTTGTTTGATAAAAGACTTATTATCATTTACTAAAGTGTATCTTAAATTCTTGCAGGGAATGACCGGCCAAATAGCAGAATCTGTGGCCATTTTGGTTGATGCATGGAACACCAAAATTGATTCTGAGGGTGGACTTGTAGACATTAATATTGACGAGTACATGAGAACCTTTTCTGGAGATGTAATTTCAAGAGCTTGTTTCGGTAGCAACTACGTTAAGGGAAAAGAGATCTTTAACCGACTCAAAACTCTCCAGGAGGCTACTTCTGATAAAGTTTTGTCCATTGGAATTCCTGGAATAACGTAAGCTATCTATCAATGATGTTTCTTTAATTAAAAAAAGCATACTAAGTCTTGTGTCACTATGGATTTAAAAGTGTCAGATACAAGATACACAGCCTTATGCCATATGCAGAGAACCATATTCTATGTTCTTGAGGGTACCAAGGTCAAAACTAATGAAAGTTTTCCTAAATGTTTCAGATATCTTCCCACGAAGGCCAACAGAGAAGCATGGGCATTAGAAAAGGAGATCCATAACTTGATCCTAGAGGTTGTGAAGGAGAGGAAAGAAACAGGGGCTGAGAAGGACCTTTTGCAAATGGTTGTTGAAGGAGCTGAAAATGGTGAATTGAAAATGAGCCAAAAAGAAATCGACCAGTTCATTGTTGCTAATTGCAAAAACGTATACTTGGCTGCACATGAGGCTAGTGCAATTGGAGCATCATGGTGCCTCATGCTTTTAGCTTCCAACCCAGAATGGCAAGAACGAGTACGTGCTGAGGTCCTTGAAATTACTGGTGGACGAACTCCAGATGCCGATATGCTTCGTAAAATGAAACAGGTATAATAAATGACTGTTTTCAATCTTTTTTCCTACCTCTCCCGCATGTTAATAAAAAAATTGAGTAGATTCGGACTAGGATTGATAATTCTTAATATGATCCACCAATCCAACATCAAACTGACGGAGTTGTTGGATGTTGGTTTAGCTCTAACGGGTTTCAGCCATAAAAAGATTGACTCGTTAAACTCGTTTGATAAATAAGTTAACAAAATTATTGTTGACATGATACAAATCATATTAAATATATCTCACACTAATGTTGACCTTCCTAGATGGAATAACCATGTTGCAAGACTGACGAAATTGATTTGATTTGTTTTGTAGCTTACAATGGTGCTACAAGAAACCCTACGTCTTTATCCTTCAGGGCCTGCATTGGCAAGGGAGACCTTGAACGACGTGACAATTGGAGGTTACAAAATACCAAAAGGTGTCATCCTTTGGACCATGGTGGTGACAATGCACACAGAAACCGAATTCTGGGGAGAAGACGCTTTGAGCTTTAACCCAGAGAGGTTCGCAAATGGAGTCAGTGGTGCATGCAAGCTTCCACATGGGTTCTTGCCTTTCGGGTTCGGACCAAGGATCTGTGTTGGACAACACTTGGCCATGATCGAACTCAAGAGCCTGATTGCTGCCCTTGTGTCCAACTTCTCTTTCAGTCTCTCTCCCAAGTATGTTCACTCGCCGGCTCTAAAATTGGTTATAAAGCCAGAATTTGGAGTTGACCTTCTGATCAAGAAGCTGTAAACCATGTACCTTTTGATACTTTTGTTATTAAAAAGAAATAAATAGTAGCAGTTTAGGCAATAAGAAGTTATATGTTCATAAACAGAAGAGGAACTATCAACTTCTCTCTTTAATTTCAAGCCCATTACTGTATATTGTGCTCGTATCTTGAGTATGTTTGTTTATAAAAACGGTGTATATGCCGTATGATTTCATCTGTAATCCACTTATGCATGTCTTCTTTTTTCAAAAATCTTGGAGATTTGGCTCTTTTCTGGCCGTAGAACTCAAAATGATGTACTTCTGATGCATTTGCCAAAAGGTTGAGATGTTTGTTTCTCGGACTAAGAAAGAAGAAATAAAAGAGGAACTATCCATTTAAGCTTTTGCCCTCATAGTGGCCCAGCCTTAGTGGATAACCCTTTCAACACCACTGAGTTTCTCGGTGGGTGTACGTAGAATAAGTAAAAACAATTCAAAATCGATGACTCTGGTATTGCAGAGTTGCTTGGATAGCACAACGGTTCCCCGGCACAACCATTGATCTTCTCTTTACACTGAAAAAATAATAAAATAAAATAGTGAAAATATAAAATAAAAAAAAAAAACCCAACGCGTGTATTTTTTTTTTAGTATGGTACTAAAAATTAATTTATAGTACTCTAGTGGTTAGACTCCTTGCTATTTCTACATGTTTGATCGTCCTATTGCATTCTATATGATTTTTCGGTGTCAACAAGTTAAAAGTGAGTTTTGGTAAAGAAAAATTCAGAACCCAACTTGTTGTATGCAAATTTCAAATATGTGAAATCACTGGCAAATCATAGTCATTAATTGAATTCAAATTTTATGTGGCTAAGAGTACTCTACTCGGTATTGAACGGAGAAAGCAAGATGAAGAAGGGTACGTAACCAGGTAGAGAATTTTCAGTCCCATGCTTAACCTTTTCTCTCCACTTGACTTGACTAAAGCCTAAAGATTGAAGGAAATTCTGGCAACCTTTCGTTGTTTTATTTTGTTGGTAAAAGCAGCCATTGATTACTATTAGCATTGGAATTTGAACTTCACAGTCCTGATATGTTGAGTACAATTAGCTAGGGTGCATGATACAAAGAGGTCTATCACAGTTGTCTATACTATATTGTCAGGGAAAAATATTAAATAAATTAAAAAATTGATTTGATAATGTAGTTGTTATATTTATCATTAATTTAATTATAAATCTTAATATTTGTTAGGATTTACTAATTATTCAATGATAATAATTTATCAAATCAAAATTTTAAATTAATTTTTTGGGGTTGTGTAACATTGCTACTTGTTGGGATGTGGATGGTTGGTTGGTTGGTTTTAAAATCAGGAAAATCATGCCAAATAAATTAGGCTCAGAGCAAACTTGTTTGACAAAAACGAAAAATGACATAGAAAATCAAATGCAACGTCAGTTATTGTCCTGGTATGTAATTTGAATTGTTGAATACTATAAACTACGAGACATTTCAAATTTTAAAAATATAAAAAATAATTTTTATTTTTTACAGTTGTTTCAGAATTTTTTTTTTTTTATTAATGAATCAAGGACTAAAGATTACTTCTAAAATTTTGGCCAAAAAAAATTTTAATAAAACACCAATATACACATTCATACTAATACACCAACAAATACACACACGCATACAAATAACATACTAAAATACACTAGACCTTTTTTGGTAATCCAACGATCTTAAATTCAATTTTTTTCCACACTCGTTAAAGGCTAACCACTCTTGTCCTTTTAGGAGAATGTTTTAATTCAACTCAAGTTACGGTGGCCAGCTGCTAAACTCAATGAAATAGTCGGCACAAGTTTAGACACCCTATAATAAAAAAAAAAATACACTAGACTCTAACTCAACCCAGGACCCGACCCCCGACTCGGACTTGGACCTAACCTTAAACCACACCTTAGACTCGGATTTGCACCCTAGACCCTGACCCCGCACCCAACCCCGGGCTTGGCCCCAGACCGACCTTGGACCCAAACCCAAACGCAACCCCAACCCGGAGCTGATCTTGGACTTGGACCCATCCCAGACTCGGATCCCAAACCCCCAGACCCCCACCTTACTTTGGCCCCAGAACTAGACCTAACCCCGAACCTAGACTTGATCCTGTACTCGAACTCGGACTCCGACCTCAACCTGACCCCAGACCTCAACCCGACCGCAAACCTCTACCCGAACCAACTGTTCGACCAAATACCCATGAAAAACACAGTACTATGAACCTCTCTCATCTCTGTCTACACTCACTCCAACAAGTTCCACAAGTCCCTTCAACCCTTCTCTGTCCAGCTCCACCAAGTCAAGTCACACCAAAAATCAAACAACTTTTCTTTATCAATATAGCTGATGCCATAACTCTGTCCCAATAACCTTTCTTTGGAAGTGTCATTTGGAGAAGTGATTATTGATAAAGTGGTGATGATTGTGACGGCGTCAATTACTTTGATTATTGGTTTATTAGTTGCAATTATGAAACATATTGATTGTTATTTTAATTGTGGGCGATTTTATTAATTAGGTAATAATTTTCATTATTAGTGAATTAAAAATTAATTTGAATTCCGTAGGTAACTTATATAAATTTTAGCCAATGTTTGATGCCTAAGTAATACTAACAATTCAAATATGTTAGATATATGTCTTATATTTTTGGCATGTTGTCTACTTTAACTCTTTCGCAACTACTTTTTTTTTTTTTCATGTAATACTTTATATGCATGATTATGATATGGTTCTTTTCAATTTTCATTTGAAAGTGCGAATATTTTGAATATTTCAATTTATGCGTTTAAATTGTTATAAATATATGAATTTTTGGTATAATATATGAATTTTTTTTATTATTTCGTGCCTTCGTACACAGACAAAACCAATATTCTATAATTTGCAAATGAATGCCCCCGTACCACGAGAAACTCGATGTCCCAAATTTGAGTCATGTCCCATCTTATGCAATGGATATTTGTCGACGATGAAAAATATGATTAGAATGTTAAAAGCTCTTATTATTATCTCAATATCATATATTTGACTCATATCGATCCCTCCTTACTCAATGCTTGTAATTCAACGAGTAATTACTTTTATTCGAAATTTACATTGTAACTATATGTTAAAAGAACCTCCTACTTGGAACAGTTCTTCATTAGCTCAATCCTTGCATTCAATATGGTTTTTGCCTGCAGTTTGTAATAAAGCATTGCCCCTGCCCAGAAGTTGGTGGAATGAGCTAGGGTGATACTGAAAGAAGCATGCATGGACCATGGCACTCCACGTTTCTAAATTACAATTTCAACCACTGAATTTATTTCATGAATTCATTACATTGGGTCTTAAAGTATTAAGACCTGTTCTTTCATGGACCACGAGAAATAGGGCAAATGGCATCTTCTTATGACCATTGTACCTAAACCATTCTAAAATCATAATTGCACCCTCACACTTACAATTATCTAATATTACACCCTGAATTTTCTCAATTTGTACCTTGTGATGAGACATTTCTGAAATACTCCAAGATGAAGACGAGTGTCCTCGGTGTCACTAAATCCTTGTTACTGAGATCACGTACCCATTGGTTCACAAGTCCCTCTCCCCCGAGGTACTTATCATAAGGATCAAGTGGCATCCAGTACGTTTACGTACCGACACGTATCCCTCGGTCTGATATGGGTACATCGGTCGCTATATGTACCTCCCCTCGGCTTCGAGATGAACCTCCCCCTTGGGTCCGAGATGTACCTCCATTTAGGGTGGCGTTCTCTGCTCCTGCAGAGGTTATTGATATACAGGTCACTAGCCTAGGCTAGGCTAGGTTAGCTATCATGACCTCGTCTTACACAATTGATGTCAGAAGGCACAGGAGGGCAGGGGACACAGCTAATGGGGAATGGACGCATGGCATATTGTGTCACATCAGAGACAGAAAGACCGGATGCCCTTGCTGACACACGATTTGGGAAAGCAAACATTTAATTATACCATTCCTTTGATGAGACAGCATTTAATGCGGTAAGGCTCGGAAGTGAAAGATAATAAATGTCTCTAAGGCATGACATTTATTACATCCTCGCCGAGAAGAGCTCATTGAATAGTCGGCAGACCGATGACACAGCCTTGGTTGCTCGAGATCCTGAGCAGTTAAAAGAAAAGACATTCCTCATTGGAATCAGTGCGCACGTTGCCTGTACCTAATGATCACCTACTGACTACACTGACAACAATCATGAGTTTTTGAGGTATAAATACTCCTCGCAAAAGGCAAGACGGTATGCAACGAAAAACCTTTGCTGCAAATTATACTCAGTATTTTCTTTTTCCTCTCTCTCAAAAACTGACTTGGTCGTCGGAGGAGATACGCCGAAAAACACTCCGGCACCCTTCTAACTTGTTTTCCTTTATTCCAGGAACCTTCCTTAGCCTTACTGGATCGTTCCATTGATCCACGAGGGTCTCCCATTACCGTTTCAGGTTACCACCGGACCTCACAGGCTGTTCCAAGCAGTAAGGTTGACCACTCGACTAACTCACTCGAGTTCACCAAGGGAGAGATCTGTTCTCGTGTTTATATTGTGAAAGATCCAGCCCGCACAATCTGGCGCCGTCTGTGGAAAACGACTAGTTTTCCTAGTTTTTTCTCTATAAAGAACAGTGACCATAGTGAATACTCGACAAAAAGGGAAAGGTCCCTAGCAAAGAAGTCTCGAATTACAAGCTCTATGTCACCATGGAGGGAGGTATCACATTGATGGGAATAAAAATGCCTTTATTCAGTCAAGAGGGGTTACCCCTCAAACCAGTATGGGCATCAGGTCAGACGGATCCGCCCCCTTGGCTCGTCAACTGGCGGAGGTGATCAAAGAAAAGTTTGGGGATCGATTACGATAGTTGGAAAAGGACAATGTGAACGTCCTAAGCCGGCTCAACGAATTCGCCGCCTTCGGTGAAGGATCGAGGGACTCATTCATTTCTCGTGGGCTCCCCACCCGGGAGGCGAAAACGAAAGATCTAAGGAATCATCTAAACAACAAGGCAGAAAGCTCCAGGGCCCCAAAGCGACCGAGAGCCAAAGAGCACCCTCTTAACGACCATTCCAGGAAGGCAAGACATTTAGCCCTGGACGACCTCCGGCGAGGATTGTCGAGACGGAAGAAGAGAGATGAGTCCGAGGAGGACTCAACCCTATCCACACGGTGCCCAGGAAATGGGGGGCCTATTAATGAACTCAAGGACTTCAGAAGACATCCCATT